CTCACATTACTGCAATGCTCACATTACTGCAATGCTCACATTACTGCTTACTGTGCACGAACTCTTTCACAAAGAGATCTACAGCTACTCAAGATCTTATTTATGCTGCTTAGTTAACGTATGATACAACATTTATATAAAAATGTCATGGGTGGGAAACCCCTGAAAGAGTTAAAATTATCACTCCAGTCTTTACCTTGGATCTTAGCCACCCAAGTTAGTGGAAATTGTACATTCATCTTATTGCATAACTTTTCTATTTTCAGTAGTTTAAAACCTTGCTAATAACAAATAATGCTATATATGCAAGTGCATATCGACGTATACATTGTCCCTTTAACAAAGTCAGTTAGAGGAGATGACTGTCAAGAACAGCAAGCTTAAAATAGATAGTATGAGAAATTCAAATAAATTAATTTATGACTGTGTAAGGGTAATGACACCGAAATTATCTATTATTTTTCAAATTTCTGCAATATGACGAGATTCAAATTGCACTTGTTTCCTACTTTTAAACATCCTTTACATCGACTTCTAGATTACATATCACCTAAAGCCTTCCGCGTTTCGTGGGTGTTGTGTGCTGCATTAAGAGCTCCATTTATTTTACTTAAACCCAGTATAGTGCATATCTGGACAATTCATCTCTGTGGCCCCTGTACTATGTAAATGCCCTTATGTTTTTGTATTAATGCACTCGCTCGCACTCTGTAGATCTGTTATCGGAGCCTTTGTCTTTGTTTCTGTTTTGTTTGCAGCAGCTGTGTAGTGTGTAGTTCAAGGTTATGAGAAAATAAAGCTTTTTAGTTTATAAAAAAGAATGCATCTGTTTATAGTAGCAGGTGTTGATGAATATGTAGCAGTACATCGTTACTACGTTTCATGCCGTGATCGATTTTATATTTTTTTGTCTCTACTTACATAATTACAACTTTTGCCATTTTTCGTTCGCTGTTAATAGAAGTACGTCGACATTTTACATAGATAAACTGTTTACATCGCAGTGTAATATTACAAATTTATGTTTGAGGACATTTTATTTGGTGATAAACTATTTAAAAAACTTTAAATAGCAAACACAATACATATAACAAAATTAACAGCCTAGTTACTAAAAACATTATTTCTTTTAATAAAAACTGATGCAACCTCTTTATATACAAGACATACACCAAACATGTACACCCTAAAGTACAATTTTGAAATGAAACCATCATGTCACATAACTGTACTCCAATAAATTTCCACATCTCCACAAACCTACAAAGCGAACTAGCTACACGATATGTCTAGCAGAATACCCAATAAGCTACCGTATAAATCAAAACCAGGTATGCGACACACATGACATTCCGGGTCGCACAGTAGTTGCGACCCGTCATGCATGTTTACTTTGCATTCTTAGGAAGACTACAACTTCATTTGTCAAAGAACCGCAAACTCCATGCCACCGGGTGGCGTGTCTGTTGCATTGTAAATAGCAATAGTTTTGACGTTCCCGTTTCATGTGCATTTCCAAAACCACTTACTAATGCTCACTTGTTTCTGAATCGTCTTCCGGCAGGTTGTTTTGATATTGATAGTATGTCTTCTATGAGCTAAAGCGAGCGCAAGGTGTCAATTCAGGTTGGTAAGCATTTTTTATTTGACTTTTTAAGAGAGAAGAGATGAAGTGAAAGTCATTTAATTAAGACTCTCCGTATTAGATCATACGCGTTAAAGACTTAAGAACTTTGAGCGTTATTTCCTGCATAACTTTAATATTGTGTATTACATGATAATACGAGATTATGAATCACTCCGTGGGAGGACCATCCAGTGAAGTGACTGGACATTTTACTGGTCATTCGCCATCGTCATCGTTTCGCTTTAATATCTATTAGAATATCACTAAAGTCGCAGAGTGTTCTATTGTTGCAGATGTTATCTTTTTTTGTCTAATGAGCGTTCAGATCCGGCTGATTGTTGCATAAGAGTTGACGCAGTTGTGGGAACTATTCGTTAGGCAATTTCTTTTATAGATGAACTTTATTGGTGTGTCCGGCTGTGGGCGACTTTTTATAAATAATTGTTTCTTTTTGCGTGTTCAATAGTCGGCTGGAATCATCAATTATACCAAGTTACGCAACGG